CCGCCTGCACTGGTCACGCCGCCTGCACCGGCAGCGCTGCCCGCGCCCGTGACGCAGCCTGCGCCGGGGTGACAGCACCCGGTAACCGGTGCCCTTCCCCAGTGGGTGTGAGCTGGCAGGGCGGGCAGGGCGCACCCTGGTTTTCCTGCGTTTGCCCGCTGCGGCTCCTTGGCATGGCCGCCTTGCCGAAGCACAGCTCCTCTTCAGGCCGGCACACAGCCATTGCCCCATCGCCACCGCGCCTCGCCTTCCCTCCTCCGGTTGATTATTTGCCGCTCCGGCAAAAGCCGCCGCTGCTGCTGCCAGGAAGCCGGGTCGAGCGGTGGCACGTGCCCGGCTCGTCTCGGTTTGCTGCAGTGGGGTGGTGGTGAGATGCAGTCCAAACCGAGCAGCCGGCTGCCCCCGGCAGAGGGGCAATGCCTCCTTCCACTCCCAGCGGTAATTTAGGGCGGTTTCCACCACCGCTCACAGGAAGCCGCGCGCAGGCAGCGCCAGTGACGTTGCTGGCTTCAGCGTGGTGAGATGGCCCAGCAGCTCATCTGGTAGGGTGATGGCAGTGCCTCTGGGTGGCTGCACCGGGACCCGGGCTGGGGGCACGGCAGGGGGGGTGCAAGCTCCTGTGTCCCTCTCCTGGCAGGATCATGCGCCCGGACGACGCCAATGTCGCGGGGAATGTCCATGGGGGAACCATCCTGAAGATGATCGAGGAGGCGGGAGCCATCATCAGCACCCGCCACTGCAACTCCCAAGCTGGGGTGAGTAGGCACTGGAGCACCTGCAGGGCTCCAGTTCGGTGACTCTCTGACCCCCCTGCCGTGCCACAGGGTTCTGCTGGGACGCGGGGGTCCCCCGGGATGGCTGGGCATCCCTGGGGGCCTCCCCGGTCATCCCCCCACACCGGAAGCACTCGCTTCTGCGTGCAAACCGCCGGTGGCTCTGCTGCTGCCGGGGCATGAGCCCGGTAGCCAGAAGCATCCTGCTGAAACTGTGTTTTACAAGCAGAACCATTATTATGCCGCCACTCATGGTTTAACTCCTGCGAAGGGCGAGTCAGAGGCGGCCCCGGTGCCGGTTACAGGCCGGGAAGGAAGCACAGCCACTGGCTGATAAGGCGGAGGTGGAAGTGCCAGAGCCGCGCGCGGCACAGGCTGGCCCTGGGTAGCCGCCGGCTGCGGTCTTGCACGGTGTGGCTGCAGCCGCTACCCTCCCTGTCCTGCCATCCCCAGGAGCCCTGTGTGGCCGCGCTGGCGCGGGTGGAGCGGACGGACTTCCTCTCTCCAGTGTGCATCGGCGAGGTGGCCAACGTCAGCGCCGAGATAACCTACACCTCCCGGCACTCTGTGGAGGTCCAGGTCAACGTCATGTCCGAAAACATCTTAACAGGTGGGTGGCTGCCAGCAGTCCTCTCCCAAAACTCTGGGAATAACTGTGGTGTAAGCTGAGAGCTCACAGCGGTGACCCCGTCCTCCGCCCACCGTTGCCAGCAGCATGGGGCAGAGGGGAGATCTTGCCTTTTTATTGACAGTGCTGGGGGCGGCGGCAGGGGGTGGTGGCGCTGGGAAGGGAAGCCAAGCAGGCTCCCTGGGGACTACAGTTCCATTGATCACTTTTAGCGAAGAATGGCAAAACCCGCTGGTAGCTCCTCCTGCCTGGTTTGCTGCCCATGGCTGCCTTTGGCCTGAGAAAGGCCCTTTTCCTGCCGTCACTGTGGCAACCAGCTGCGCTTGCCGGGTCGCCTTCCCAAAAGCGCATCGTCACATCTGCTCTAAGCCAAAGCCCAGCAGGAGCTGGCAGGGCAGGGGGCTGCCTGCTGCCGGCGGCATCGCTGGTGTGTGGCAGGCCCCGGACTGTGGCAGCGCCGGTAGCAGGTGAAGGGCTGCTGGCGTCAGCACGGTCACCCTCTGTCCCCCTCCCCTCCAGGGGCAAAGAAGGTGACGAACAAGGCGACGCTGTGGTACGTGCCACTGTCCCTGAAGAACGTGAACAAGGTCCTTGAGGTTCCCCCCATCCAGGTAGGATGGCTCGCTTTGCTCCCCAAAAAGCGGAGCTCGCCCTCTCCGGGAGAACGGCACTAACCTAGCCCCGTCGGCACCTCTGGCTGTGCCAGTGGCTTTGCCAACCCAGTTTTTACCAGCCTTTCCTTCCAGTATGCCAGAAAGGAGCAGGAGGACGAGGGGAAGAAGCGCTATGAGGAGCAAAAGCTGGATAGGCTGGAAACTAAGCAGAGAAATGGCGACGTGATCTTCCCTGTCATCAACCCAGGTAACGCGGGCGGTGCGTGGCCTGTGGAAGCATCCTGGCGATGCTGGGAGGCCAAACCGGTCCTTGAGGCAGCTCCAGCTGTCCCCAGGCACCCGTGGCTGCAAGCGCGCGCTCCGAAACGCTGCGCTGGGGAGGGGGCTGGGATTTTGGAGCCGTGGTGTGGGAGCGGAGGGGGAGCTGGGTGGGCACCTGTGATCCCCCGCTGGGGCTGGTGAGTGGGATGGCCTCTGCCAAAACATGGTTCCTGCCACTGCTCCCTGCATCCCTCGTGCTCTTCTGGGCAGCGGGAGCTAGTTTTGCTTAGCGTAGGGTAAATGCAAGCGTTGGGCGAGGGTTTTGCACACTCTGCAGCTGCAGCCCCTCTCTGGAAGCCAGGTTTTAGCAAGAAGTTCATCGGCTGGTGTTTGAAGGGGAGGATGAGCTATGGGGAGGAGCTGGGGGTCACGCTCTCCCTAAGGGAGCGCTGGGGATACCTTTCCTATCGAAAGCATTGCCCTGGCTTCTGGAAACACAGTGGCAGCGCTGATGGCGAGCCAAAGGGGTGAGCGGCTGGTGGCCTCCAGGACTGGCCATGGTCCTTGGGCAGAGGTGGAGAGGTGGCATGTGGGCATCGTCGGGGGGGTGATGCGGGATGAATGTTGCTCAAATGCTTTTTTCCCCTCTGTTCTTTCTGCTCACAGATAGGCAGACAAAAGGTAAGGCTTCAAAGGCGCTGCCATGCGGGTGTCCTCCCCAAGGAGGTGATGCCGAGCGGTCGGGGGCTCGGTTGGTTTTTCCTGCGCTAAGCACCCTTAGCGTCTCTCTTTAGACAGAAAAAGCAGCCAACCCCGAGAACGGGTTTCCTCTGCTGGCAGTTGGAGGGTGTGATTTCTGTCGCCTGGATTTAGTGGCGAGTCAGAGGTCACCGGCCTGTGCTGGGGCTGGGGGGTGTGGGGGCCGAGGTCTTCATGCCAAGGGCAAAGTGTGGCTCTTTGGAGACGCCGCTGAGCGGCAGGTTTGGGGAGATTCAGCTGCGGCTGGTGGCCTGAGGAGGGAAAGCATACAGCCACACATCTGTCCAGTTCACTCCCGTTTGCTTTTGGGCTCTTTGAAAGCTTTAAAAGAAGAAACGAGCTGAGCTGGAATAAAATTGATGGGGAGGCATTAGAAGGAGGTGGCAGCCCATCAGGTTGTGAATAGCCTCTGCTCTCAGGGCTTCTCAGGGCCAATTTAAATGCTGATTGGAACATACTTCAGCTTTGCACAAGCCAGCCGTACGTTTTCTTCTTTCAGATGGCTTAAGACAGGGCCATACGGTGGCGTACGGGTGCTGGCCGAGCAGCTCTGACCTCCACTTTGCTCTCTTTCTCTAACCAGAGCCGCACACCGTCAGCTATAGCCAGTCCAGCCTGATCCACCTGGTGGGACCATCGGACTGCACGCTGCTGGGCTTCGTGCATGGAGGTGAGCGAGCGCTGCCCCATTCAATGGCTGGGCTGTTTTTTCTCTGGAGCGGAAGCACGGTTTGAGAGCGACTCGTGTGTCTCGGTGTTTTCGGGAGGCGGGCTCCACCTCTGAAGGCATGCAGGCCTATTCCCGCTCTCTGTAAGGTTTGGTGTTGCTTCAGCTGTGATAAAAGCTTTGTCTTTTTCTATGCTTAAAAAAAGGCCCTGAAAACTGACATACTCAAGCTGTAAATACTACAATTTTGTCATCATCTCTTAAATTGCAAATCTAAACACCCAGCGTACAATGACTGCAATTTGCTGGAGTAATTTCCTCTTGGCTGGCAGTGCCTCTTGCCTGCCAGGGAGGCAGGGCAGGGCGGACACATGGGTGCGGTGTGAGCCCGGGGAGAGGCATGTTTGCCGAGGGCCAGGACGACGCTGGATGCTGCTCTTCATCTAGTTGCATCCTTGAAAAAATAAACCCAAACCACAACAATGCAGCTTAGAGCTTTTTCCAAGCAGGAGGTTTGTGGGACTGATCCTGCCTTGCAAGGCTGAGGTTTGCTTAAAGATGTTTGGGAGAGCCAGAGCTGGCCTAAATCGTAAGCCCAGGTCTGTGAGGATGTCGCCCTGGTGGTACTCTTGACAGGAATCTTTGTGCTGGTACCGGGGCTTTCCTGCAGTGAAGATTGAATCTCTGGTCCAACTCCTCGGCGTAGCTTTGGTCACGCAAAGGCCTTGCCAACCTACGCGTGGTTTTTCCCAAATCCCACTGGCCTCCCTGAGACAGGACCCTCTGCCTCCCCCCACCCAGGTGTCACCATGAAGCTCATGGACGAGGTTGCCGGGATTGTGGCTGCCCGCCACTGCAAGACCAACATCGTCACCGCCTCGGTGGACGCCATCAACTTCCACGAGAAGATCAAAAAAGGTACCGGGGGTGGGGGCGGGCATTTTGCTGTCCTGCGGTGCCACGTCCTGGTTCCCCTGGGTGCATGCTGGGGACACAGTGGCAGAGAAATTTAGTCCCCGTTAGACTTGTCCTGTGCTGAGAAGCTCCCCTTAAGATGTGGCTTAAGCATTAAACATGCGGGGTACCCCTTGCTCCCTTCCTCTGAGCAGAAGTGGGGGCCACCTGCTTAACCGGCCCCTCTCCACTTCGCAGGCAGCGTCATCACCATTTCGGGGCGCATGACCTTCACAAGCAATAAATCCATGGAAATCGAAGTCTTTGTGGATGCTGACCCATTTGTGGATGAGCCTCGGGAGCGGTACCGTGCCGTCAGCGCCTTCTTCACCTACGTCTCCCTGAGCAAGGAGGGGAAGCCCCTGCCTGTCCCACAGCTGCTGGTAAGAGCTCTCCCCGCTGGGCTGCAAGCCAGCCGGGCCAGCCCCTCTCCTGCTCCTCCCGGGACAGACCCCAGCTGGCTTTTTTGTCCAACAAATCCTCTTCCCTTGAATTTTTCAGCAGCAAAGTATGAGCCTGAACGAGCCTTTCCAGAGCGGGCTTCAGGGTTGTTTTCTGAAATTTCTTCTGGTTGAAAATTGCCAATGTGGAGACATTGGGGGCGGGGGGTTTCCTTTCTCGCGGTTGAGGACAGGCTGCATGCAGGCTCTGCAGCTTCCTCTCCTGCCTGCACCAGAGATGCGCGGGAGGGGACCCTGAGCAGCGACAGAGGCCCCTGCGTCCCCCATCCCCGCTCTCCGTGGCATCCCTGCTCCAGCCCTCCTGCCTATTTTTAGCTCTCCTGAAGCCAGCAGGGCTTTGCTGACACTGCGCTGCTGACTAGGGGCTGTTTCTTGATTAATATTTTAGCCCGCGCAGGTCTCCTCCTGCTCTGTGCAGGAGTACCTTAGCTGTCAAAAGATATATGTCACGGAGCGCAGGTTTTCCTTTACTTTTCCTGTAAGGGGAGACACATTTCCCTCCCACACACGCTTGCAAGATGCGGCGTGGGAGAACCATGCTGCCCCAAGGCAGCTAACACCGGTGGCTTTGCTTTCTTTCTGTCACCGGCAGACGGAGACGGAGGATGAGAAGCGGCGCTTTGAGGAAGGGAAGGGCAGGTACCTCCAGACAAAAGCCAAGCGGCAGGCGCAGATGCAGCAGGCTGCCCAGCAGTGATCCCGTCCCGTGCCGCCCCGCGCTCTCGCAGCCTTCACCCGCCGAACGTCTGGGTTCCCGTTAGTGTTGTGTCTGGTCCGCGCCGGGCCTCGCACCTTCGCCCGCCCCAGCCTGCTGCCGGAGCTGCCGCGGCAGCGTGGTTGCTTCACTGCTGACTGGTTTAGCGCCCGTAGACCTTGTGCTTTAGGTGGCCTAAGCGCCCTGAAAGCTGCCGGGAGCCTTCCCGGTCGCTTGCCATTCACCTCTGGAGCCCTGTTTTCACCATTGAATCCTGTAAGCAGAACGCCTGTGCCGGAGCGGGGCAGAGGCGCGTGGCGGCACGAGGGATGCGTGAGGCCGCGAGTCTTTGTGATGCTGTGTTAAACTTGCCAGTTATGTCCTAAAACTGCACACCAAAGCTTACATGCGATACTCGCGACGGGAAACGCGCCCTGGTATCGCACTGAATGTCTCGGACCATTTTGTTGACATCTCTAGGTAGTTTCTCTGTGCACATCTAAGTTATTTAAGGAATCCTGTGGCATAAATAAAGTCTGTTGTCGTTGACTGAAATAAAATGGGGGTGTCTTTTATTTTTTTGTCTCGAGCAGCAGCAATTCCGGCTGAGGAGCTTTATTTATTCCAAAAACTCGCGCCGCTTCCCCTGCCCCTTGCCTTTCCCCCAGCCCCTCCCAGGGTCCCCGGAGTGGCACAGCAGCCTCCCGCCCTTGTTTTGCAGAAAATCTGCCTCTTCTAACGGGAACCCCCGACCGGCCCCCGCAGTTGGGCAGCTGGTCGGTGCGGCTCGCAGCCCCACGGCCACCCTTGCCGTCCCGGGACCGGCCCCTGAGGGCCCCAGGCAGCTCGTCACCCTGGGGCCCGCAGGCCGGTTTCCTCCACTCCCCCGCGGGGTACACCACGTTCCTGTGGGCCTCTCAGGCGTGGGGCAGGGGCCAGAGAGAGAGGGCCCCGGGGCCGAGGCCCGACGCCCTGGCCGGGCCCACAGCGGGAGAGGGCGGGCGCGCAGGCCGCAGCCCGGCGGGTGGTGAGGGGACGGTGGCCGGAAGGTTACAGCCCGGGCCGGGAGCGGCGCCTTCGCCCCTCGGTGCTCCGGTTTGCGACATTAAACACCAACCGAAAGAAAAACCGGCTCCGGGAGCGCCCCGCAGCCCCCGGCGGCGGCGGCCAGTGCGCCTGCGCGGCGCCGCTGCTGCCCGAGGGGAGATACTGCGCCTGCGCGGGGCGCAACTCTCGCGAGAGCGCCGCGGCTGTTGCCCGGGCGACGCGGGCGGGGCGGGGCGCGGCGCTGGGGGGGGGGGGGG